GTAAATAAATGCAATTCAAAAGGAATGTAAAGAATGCATGGAAACACCAACAACAAACATTTACCTTATTCTGCTTACAACAAGTCTCAAAATTTTGGGGAGGTGATGGATCTACAAGCTGAGTCCTACCAACAGAAAAACAATATTTCAGAAATCAAGGTGTAAATTTGGTGTAACGTAAACTGGATGAAATTAAAAAAGAAAAAAATGGATGAGGTAAACTGGTAAAAACCTTTTTCTTTTTCTTTCTTCTTCTTCTTTAGAGGAAGCAATGTCCTCCGCTTGATCTTGAAATGGTACACCACCAACAGAAAAGAGGTCAGAAATCAAGCTGCATATGAGAGACGCAAAAATTAAAAGAGGATAAACGAGTAATGTCACCCAAAATTAAAAACGTAAATTGGAAGAGGATAAATGAGTAGTAAAAAACCTTGTTCCTTTTTCTTCAGCAGAAGCATTGTCTTCCAGCAATTGGAAGAGGATCCGACAAAGGCGGAACTTAGCCCCAAAAGAGCACTTCCAAAGCGTTCCTTATCGACAGGCGGCTCTATGTCACTGAAAATTTTCCAAGATTCCAATCTGAGGGGTGGGTTTGATGATCAACCGGTATTCCTCATCATCATCGTTTCGCCAATTGCAACCATAGCTTGAAAAAGGATGGGATTTTCTCCGGCCGCCGTTGTCGTTGCAGAATCCATTACTAACTCGTTTTTTTCTGGAGTTCAGATAGCTTTGAGTTCGGGATCAGGGTCAGGGGTTTTTTCTTTTGGCCATCGATCCAACGGCTGAGTTAGGGTTTGGGAAAAGGGCATGGCTCGGGCAGGCTTTAGCTCCTGTACTGTACCCTCTTTTTCAGGTCTTGCAGGACGGGAGGGTTTGACTCTTTGACCTCTTTTCATGTGAAATCCGGAATTACTCTGCCCAAAAAATTTGCCAGTCAAATGGATCAGCTAAGCTGCTCAGGTCAGGGTTGGGCCAACCTAAGCAAACCCCACTAATATTAACGTTGGGTTTTATCACGTGACTTAATGCGTCATGTTTGGTGGATTAATAATGGACTTTTTAAGAATAAAACTTGGTTGAATTGGATGGAATTAGAAAAAAATTAAAAATAAAGTTAATCAAACACTAGAACTTCAATTACAAATGCTACAAAATTGTGTGCTTTAATTTTATGACATTTTTTCTAATGTTAAAATTGACTACATATCCTTTTCTTGTGGGAAGGAGGATTCAAGGAAGCCAATTTGGAAGAAATTAGAAGACATTAAAAATGAAGCCAATCAACAAATAAAACTTCGCATGTAACAGCTATAAATTGTATGCATACTTTTCTTTTATGATATTTTTTTGAATGTTAAATTGAGTACATATATATCTTTTTTCTTGCATAGGAGTGTCCAATTGGATGAATGCAAAAGAAATTTTTCAACATGATCAACGACAATGAAATCTTTGGATGTAAATGCTACAAAATTATGCGTATGCCTCTATTTTATGATATTATTCTAATGTTAAATTGAGTACATATCCTTTTCTTGCAAGAGGGAGACTTGAAAGAAGGAGGATTCAAGGGAGGGTAATTGGAAGAAATTAAATGAAATTAAAAATGAAGCCAATCAACAAACGGAACTTTTGATGTAAATGCCACAAAATTGTAGGCATGCTTTTATTTTATGATATTTTTTTCTAATATTATATTGAGTACATTTATATCTTTTTCTAGTAGGAGATTGTCTAGTTGGAAGAAAGCAAAAGAAATTATTGGAGTTTGTCAATTCCTAATGGATCTTTGCCTGTAAATGCTACAAAACTGCACATATGATTTTATTTTATGATAATATTTTTAATGTTAAATTTAGCACATATATATCTTTTTCTTGTAGGAGAGTGTCTAGTTGGATGAAATAGTGGAAAGTACAAGAAATTAAAAATGAAGCCAATCAAGAACTAGAACTATGCACGTAAATGCTACAAAATTGTGTCCATGCTTTTATTCTATGATATTTTTTTTCTAATGTTAAATTGAGCACATATCCTTTTCTTGCAAAACGATGGTTGGAAGAAATTGGAAGAAATTAAAAATGAACCCAGTAAAAAACTAGAACTTTGGACGTAAATGGTACAAAAATTGTGTAAATGCTTTTATTTTATGGTATTATTTCTAATGTTAAATTGAGTACATATATATCGTTTTCTTGTAGGAGAGTGTCCAGTTGGATGAAAGAAAGGAAAGTACAAGAAATTAAAAATGAAGCTTTTCAAGAACTAGAACTTTACATGTAAATGCTACAAAACTGAATGTAAACTTTTATTTTATAATATTTTTTTTCTAATGTTAAATTGAGTACATATCCTTTTCTTGCAGAGGGGATGGTTGGAAGAAATTTGAAGAAATTAAAAATGAAGCCAATCAATAACTAGAACTTCAAATGTAAATGCTACAAAATTGTGGGCATGCTTTTATTTTATAATATTTTTTCTAATGTTAAATTGAGTATATATCCTTTTCTTGCAAAATGAATGGCTGGGAGAAATTACAAGAAACTAAAAATAAAGCCAATCAACAACCAGAACTTCAAATGTACATGCAACAAAACTGTGTGCATTCTTTTATTTATGATATTTTTTCTAATGTTAAATTGAGTACATATTCTTTTCTTGCAGAAAAGACAATTGGAAGAAATTTGAAGAAATTAAAAATGAAGGCAATCAAGAACTAGAACTGTAGATGTAAATGCTACAAAATTGTGCATTCTTTTATTTTCTAATATTTTTTCTAATGTTAAATTGAGTACATATATATATATATATATATCTTGCTCTTGTAAGAGAGTGTATAGTTGGATGAAAGTGAGTAAACTACAAGAAATTAAAATTGTAGTTGGTCAACAACTAGAACTTTGCACATAAATGCTACAAATTTGTGTGCATGCTTTTATTTTATGACATTTTTTCTAATGCTAAATTGAGTTCATATCCTTTTCTTGCAGAAAGGACGGTTGGAAGACATTGGAAGAAACTGAAAATGGAGCCAATCAACAACTAGAACTTCAAACGTAAATGCTGCAAAATTATGTGCGTGTTTTTCTTTTATGATATTTTTTCTAATGTTAATTGAGTACATATCCTTTTCTTACAGAAACGACAGTTGGAAGAAATTAGAAGTAATTAAAAGGGAGTCGGGCAACAACTAGAACTTTGGACGTAAATGTTACAAAATTGTGTGCATGATTTTATTTTATGATATAATTTCTAATGTCAAATTTAGCAAACAGACATCTTTTTCTTGCAAGAGAGTGTCCAGTTGGATGAAAGAATGAAAAGTATTAGAAATTCAAAATGAAGCTAATCAACAACTAGAACTTTGGACGTAAATGCTATAAAATTGTGCATGCTTTTATTTTATTTTATTTTATTTTATTTTATTTTTAGTGTCGCACCTAATCAAGCATCTAGACTTGAGATGTAAATGCTACAAAATTGCACATGTATGCTTTTATTTATTATACTTTTTCTACTGTTAAATTGAGTACTTGTATCTTTTTTTACAGGATGGAGGAGGATTGGAAGCAAGCAGAAGAAATTATTAAAGCTGATCAACTATCAAGTCTTTGGGTGTAAATGCTACAAAATTTCGTGAATGCTATTATTTTTAGGATATTTTTTCCATTGTTAAATTGAGTACAATTTTTTCTCTTGCAGGAAGACAGCTTGGGATAAGGATTGGGCTAATAGTCAGGATAAGGCTTGGGACGAGTATTATTGGATGGAAG